GCAAGCGGGACTGGCCTAGGGGATTTTATAGGGGTTTTAATTACTTTTAAATTTGACATTCTCAAATATTTCATTTTAATTAAATTTTAACTAGGTGTAATATGTTAGCTTTTTATCATTTGTCAGCCGCCCTGAGTCCGAAAGGAGAAGGGCGGGATATAAATACAATTAATAAATAAAAATAAATAAATAAATAAATTGAATTTCTCTCTCCAGGTCCTTTTAGTATCCAGGCAATGAGCTAGTACCTAAATAGCATAATTTGTCCAACATGGGTAGAGACGTATAATGGGATATGTATAATGGGATACCGATGATGATGAACTCTTCCAGAGACTTCATATAGATGTTAAAGAGGAGGAGAGAGAGACCTGAGCTCTGAGTAACTCCACATAACAGGGCCTAGGGCTGGACTTCTCTTCCACCATAACTGACTGGTATCAGCCACAGGGGGGAAAAAAGGAAAACTATTGCAAAATAGCACCTCCCACTCTCAATACCTGGACCTGGTCCAGTAAGATACCAAACAATGGTATCAAAAGCCATCAAGAGATCTAGGAGAGCCAGACAGACTGGCCACTTTCATCGTGTGCCCTCCAAAGTTCAATGACCAGCATGACCAATGTTGTCTCAGTATTATGTAGCCTGGCCTGACTGAAGAGGGTCTAGATGTCAAACTCACGCATTATGTGACATTGTGACATATCACAACTTTTTTCGCATTGCCGGAGCTGGGGTGGGCATGGCCTCCGCATGATGAAACCAGCCCACGGGCTGGCAGTTAGACACCCATAGTCTAGATCAGAGGCCAGGGACCGATTCTGTAGACCAGAGAAGGCATGGTTTTGTGTGCTGCCTGCATCCAGCAGATGGGGCTTCATTTCATTATCCTTCAAAGTAAGTATTCCACTGGATGAAAATTAAACAATTAACAATGGAAGCATGAGTAATTTTATCATAACACCTTGCAAATTTTAACATAGCAGAATTCTGAGTTATACAATAACATTTCTCAGAACTGATGTCAGAAAGCTCTATTTGTGATGTAACAGAAGAAGCAAAGTGAGGCTTTGTCACCCCAGTTGTCAGACCAAGCCCAGAGACAACACTGCAAGATCCAATCAAGTCCAATCTTTTATTTTACCTGACATTCAAACCTGCATCCCGAAGAACTTTTGCTGTTCCTCCTGAGGCAACCAAAGTCAAACCCAAGGAAGTCAGACATTTTGCAAATTCCACCAGGCCGGTTTTATCTGAGACACTAAATAAAGCTGAAACAAAAGAAATTCTTGAATGAGAATATTGATATACAGGAAAACCCCACATTCAAACAGGACCAGTTATATAGCTAAACTCACTATAGTTCTATTATAAGAACTGGTAATCACCAATGAAAAAAGATTGTTTTTAAAAACTGATGTACCAAGTAGGTTGCAGTCACACATTGCCTTTCCTGCTACCACTAAATGGAAATATTGCCACTTCTCAGCATAACTCAACAACAATCTTCTATAATTCAGCATTTCCAATAGGTGTTGAATTACAGCGTCAATTACTTTCAGTGTTGCTGGTGTTGTAATTCACATGAGGAAGGCATCACTGGTGGAGGGAGCTAGCCCAGAATAAATTTTGTTTATTATCAGAATAAAGAGGGCTTGTATAAATAATCTTGGAGCTTTTACAAAATGTATTTTACAAAACATTTTCAATTTTCCTTCTGCCTCCCAACTGATGTAATGATTGAGATAACAGAATAATGGGGCAGCTGCTCTAGCTCTTCCTTTTGTTAATTTATTCCTACCCAAATTTTTTCATATACATTTCCCAGGAATAACACAAGAGAAAATGTATTGGCCATAAATAAGAGGGCAAAGTGCACTGTGAATGTGAGGTAACATGTTGGTTTTGTACTCTGTTCTTCAATAGGATTCGAAGGATTCTATTTAATTCGAAGTTTGCGAATCTCCAACGCAGTTATAAGAATCAAATGGCGAAGATCGCGTTGCACTTTATGTTTTAGACTGCAAATTGTCCCTGCGTATTTGCAAGCTCCTCTTGAAAAAATATGCAAAAAAGAAACCACCAAACCAGGGAGAAAAATTGCGGATTACGTTCGTCGGGAGCCAAAGAAGGTGCATGGAAAAAGGCAACCTTCCAACAATAGTTGAAAGGGATTCAATCCAAGAACGAAACTCCACTCGCTTCTGATCTTCGTGGGCCTTAACTTGCAATTTGGACGGGTCGGGGTTAAAACTTTTAACCTATCAGGGCACTGATTAACTATGCACATTGATTTTTAACACCTAGTAGTACATGCTTTCTAGCCTTTTGTAACTTTTGTGCAACAGTTTCCCTTCAATTTAAGTCATATGGGGAAAAGCGCCAATGCAGGCCACGAGGCTTGCTTCTGAATAACACTGGACAGATCAGATAGAACTTCAGCACACAGAGTACACCAGGCCGAAGAGGAGCCCTCCCGTAAGCCAATCACCAAACCAGGCAGAGCCCTCCAACGGGCGGTGCTCCCTTCTCCTTTCAGAGTGGGGCGTTTTCTGCTGCTGAGAAAATAAACGAGCAAAATTTTTGCAGTGCAGCAAACCCGCAGCGTCGAGACGCCACACATGGCAACTGAAACTCACCCAGCTGTTGCCTCAAAGCCATGTTTGTAGAGACCCTCTGCAAGAAAACAGTCCCGGAGAAGAACAAGCGATGAGAAAGAAAGCCTGCCCCTCGCGGGGGAAATAAATGAGGTGGTAGTTGAAGGAAGGGGGTGGAGTTAGGATTGAATGCTGGGAAGGCGGGGAGAGAACTGAATCACTGAGGCTTTGAGTCAGAAGTGGAAAGAAGCACAGAGAGCTTGGGTGCTGAAAGAAAAGGGGAGTGATCCCTGAATTAGACTTTTTCTAGCCAAGGGACAAGTGTAAAAGCTGAAACCACATTCAATGGTCACCTGGACTAAATGGCTTTGGTGCTGTAACAGTATCTTCTACCTCGTTTGTACCATGTAAAACTCTGTAGTTCCACCATTGAGATGCAATCTTGGTATATGATTGTTCCCAGCATTAAGGTTTTATCTATAAAAAGTTAGTCACGTAGCTAGATTCGCATGTTTCAGCAATCTGTAAGTTCCGTATATTTCAGGATCACAAATAAATACAAAAGGAACTGCTGTATTATAAATAACAGTATTGAACATAATTGAATAAAGGAATAAAATATAAATGCACATATGTATGTGCGTTTGTATACATAAATACAAATATAAAAACTTCAAATATCTATCACATAAAAGGAATACTGTTGCTTGTACAGGTAATCCTCAACTTAGGACCACAATGACCCCAACAATTATGTGGCTAAGAAGGACATTTGTTAAGTGAGTTTTGCCCCATTTTATGACCATTCTTGCCAAAGTTGTTAAGTGAATCACTGCAGTTGTTAAGTTAGTAACCCCAGTTCAGTGAATCTGGTTTCCCTATTGACTTTACTGTCAAAAGGTCACAAAATGTGGTCATGTGACCATGGAGATGCTGCAGTGGTAAAAAAATAGTCATAAATCATCTTCAGTGCTGTTGCAACTTTGAACAGTCACTAAGTGAACTGTTGTAAGTTGAGGACTATCTATTTTGCACAAATAGAAAATATCTAGAATAATAAAATAAAATACCTTTAATTTAAATCCAACTTTACATTACTCTAAAACAGATATGTCAGACACAAGGCCCAGATTTGGCTGAAGGGCTGCCGTGGAGACAACAAGGGACCGGCCCCAGCTGCCCCAGCTCTGGCCCACTCCAACGCGGCCCAGCACTCCCCCGACGCACAGGCAGGAGCCCAAAAGCACATTGGGGGCTGGCGGTGCTGGGCAGCAGCTGTAGCTTGTTCACCTCATCCCGCCTCACCACACCCCTCCCGGCCTCCTCCACTCGCCCAGCCCTCACCTTGCTGGGCCTCTCCTCCCCTCGCCTTGCTGGGCCTCTCTTCTACTCGCCCAGCCCATGCCTTCCTTGCGTTGCAGGACCTTCCTCTCCTTGCCTGGCTCTCGCCATGCCAGACCTCCATTCCCTTTCCTGGTCCTCGCATTGCAGGGCCTCTTGTCTCCCAGCCCTAGCCTTACCGGGGCTCTCCTCTCCTTGCCCAGCCCTCGGCTTCCTCACTTTGTGGGATCTCTCTTCTCTTTGCCCAGCTCTCACCTTGCCAGGCCCCCCGCCCTTCATCTGGCCCTCATGTTTCCAGGCCTCGTCCCCCAGCCCTCACATTGCCGGCCCTCTTGTCTCCTGGCCCTCACATTCCTCCCCTTGCCTGGCCTTCACAATGCCGGGCGTCTCCTCCCCTCCCTTGGTCCTCGCATTACCAGGCCTCTCCTCCCCTTGACTGGCCCTCAGCTTCCTCGCCTTGCCAGGCCTTTCCTCCCCATGCCCAGCTCTCGCCTTGCCAGGCCTCCATTCACACATTAGTGGGCCTCTCCTCCCCTCACCCGGCACTCACCTTGCCGGACCTCTCCTCAATCGGCCCTTGCCTTGCCAGGGATCTCCTCACTTGGCCCTTCCCTTGCCAGGCCTCTCGGCCCCTCACCCTGCCCTCGCCAGGCCTCTCGCCCAGCTCTCTATCCAACAAAATGAGTTTCAATGTGGAGAAAAGAAAAGTCTTACATTTAGGCAGGAAAAACCAAAGGTACAAATACAGATTGGGCAAGACCTGGCTTAAAAAGAGGCACCGTTATGCAGTGGTTCTCCTCCTTCCTCACCGACCGTACGCAGTCTGTATTGGCAGGGGGACAGAGGTCGACTCCTAGACCCCTAACCTGTGGGGTGCCTCAGGGGTCGGTCCTCTCTCCCCTACTGTTCAATATTTATGTGAAGCCGCTGGGAGAGATCATTCGTGGCTTTGGGGTGGAGTTCCATCAGTA